TCAAATAAGTCATGGCTGTACGGCAGTGAAGCATTGGTGTTGAGCACTGATGTCATGCTGTCGTTGATGATGATGATGATGATTGACCAACAGTGTCTGCGAAGTATCGACAGGGTCTAGTGTAAACATCAGATTGCTATTGGATTCCCCTATATTGTGACGCTCAACCACAGTAGGTGAAACGCTAGTCCAATAGCGGTAATAGGATTTCGATCTATAGGAAGATGCATCAACTATTCCTCTACATTACATCGAATACATGAGTGGGGTCACACACATCACCAATCAACAATTGTAGTTTTCTCAGACTTTATGGATTAGGAATACATCCTTGAGGTTTGTAGGTAGTCTTTCCTGTGCGCACCCAAAAACCCTGCAGGATATGGCATGTAACCTACCCCCGGGCGCACACGACGAAATGTCTTAGTCGGACCGTCTGCTACGGTTCACCTGTTGCTGTATACCGGATGTAAATCGAACGAGGTGCGCGAAGCACGCTTCACTAATCCCATTGATAGAGTCTTGCTTCGAGAATTGCTTACTTCATTGTTGTTGTTCAGACGTGTAGACAACTTACTCTTGAAGGTCTTAGGCATAGGAGGCATAGGATTCCTTTGCACTAGGTCCCTACCTTTCCCTTTCCTTACCACTCATTACTAGGGCTTTCTTTTCTCACGGTTATATGGTAGTTCAGTTATGAATGAATTGAGTGATAATGGTCCTTACCCACCAGTACAATAAGACCAACTGATTACGAGGAAAGCAAACGATATTTAAATGGAATCCCAGCACAAAAATACATTGAATCGAAACAGTTTTTTCGGAAACTGAAAGAAAAAGATGCCGTCCAAAATATCCCATAAAATACAGAAAAACCGAAAAATTTCGTTCCTACTTACCCCAGCGCTTGGTCGCCCGATCGCTGTTCAACGTCAGCTGTCAATTTGCTTACGGCAACTTTGAGAATTTGTGGATCGCTGGAAACAGGATGAAGACAGGTGAGTAGTAAGTAGCATTAGGATGACGTAGAACACTAGTTCAGTAAATATGCAATGGACAGGACCACGAATACAAGTCAGCAGAAGTGAGGTTACAATGGCAAATCGAGTATTTGCATCGGAACGTATTTCGCGGAAATTCCTAACGGGTTACACGGGGAACCCTTCGAAAAGTCAAAACGAAGGCTAGAAAACGAGCAACAAACATCCAGCATACCTGAGTTTGTCGTCCAGAAGGATGAAGCTCAACTGACGCAAGGCGACCGAAATTACCATGGAAACGTATGTCGGTGGAAACTTCCCAGGTGCAGCGACCGCCTCCGAGTAATTAATTGCCTCATAGAGGCGGGCTTTCTCCTCAGCAGTCATCTCGGATTGCAGTCGCTTCATGATAACGTCAGCATCCGATTGGGACGAATCCGTTGAGGAACTGGTATCCGATGAAATAGACGGTGAACGCGAAAACCACCTGAACATTCTGCTACCTTTTGCTTTCTCTGCTGCTTCCTTGCTTTTACCTTGATTGTGCTATTGCAATGAATAAAACAGCTTACATGCTTTCAGAGTAAAGGGTGATAGGTAAAATGGGCAAGTGCACATCAAGGAGAACAGTCTCCGCGTAGTGCAAAGTGAGATAAAATCGAAAAATGCAAATCTTAGATATTTGGTATTACATGTTAGACAGCAGCGGCTGATGAACACTTCACAGTGCGCATTGATCGGTTCACCTTACTTCATTCATACACCAAGGTGGATAAGCGGAAAAGTGCTACCATTGATGCGTCCTCTCCCCCACAAATCCGTTGCTTTGTCCCTCCTTACCCTGTTGCTAGCCATACCCCCGTAGGATCATTCTTAAGGACTGACCAAACTGTTCACCGCCCATTCCTGTTAGCTATAATATCTACATCTCACTCGGACGCCACGGCGGTAGACATTTCAGTCATTCTTAAAACCCCAATTCAGTTCATCCAGTAGCCTTTAAGGTTCGCACTCTGAAACAGACTAAACGACAGCGCTCACTTTCCGTTGGTAAGTGTTATCCCTCGGAAACGACCAAAGTAGGTTGCCGAACTGACCTAATCATCGGTTTCTTATCACTTCCAGTCCTCTTTGCTCTTTTCCGGGCGCACAAGATGCGAGCANAGGGGCTCTAGTATTTTAAGCCATCAATCTGAAGGACCTCTGTCTGATGACAGACTCCTACTTGCGGACCGTGTGGCAACGTCCGCCTGACTATCCCGTAAACGCGTCAATAATCACTGTCTGTTCATCTGTTAAGACTCAGAGTGAAGTTCCGGTACTCTCAAAGCCTGTTTTTTTACGAGGCTATGAACGTTCATAGACTGTTGTGATTGTTGAGAATATGAATGCGTAAGCAAGTAGGTTAAGCACTACTGTGGCTCAATTAAGTACTCATTTTGGACCGAAATCAAGGTGCACGAAGGCCTGCTGCAGCTAAATCCCAAAACAACCGAAATCGCTTGACCACATGGTGTCACCATCCTCAACACAGAAAGACCACATCGCCACTGGTGGAGTGGATCAACCACTGGATGCCGCTCATCCAGGAACACTTGTGTGAATTCTGATCATGCGCTTGTCCTCTTTGCTCTTTCCGGGCGCGAGCACCTCGCTTGGCCATCGAGAACCTCCCGGACCCTAATGTGAGCCATGTCTACCTCAACCACCTGATGAAATATCTCCTGGACATTCCTCCTTCCCTTACCGGGAAGTACTATCATCAAACCTTCAGGATGCTACGCGCTTAGCTTGCAAAACGGGGTAATCAACTCCGTCCAAGCACCGGCAGAGACAGACCAGTCCTGAACACTGATGTTATGCTGTCTATGATGATAATGTTGATGAATGGACGTCCAGCGAAACCATAAGCTTCCTAGTAGTTCGGACACGTAGTCCTCCTGGATTACAATACAACACGAAGCACTGTCAGGCCTTAGATGAAAAAGAATATCTGCACAGATTCTGAATGTCAGTGGGTTCAGATGTAGGAGGAGGAAGAGACGAGAAAGGCGAGAAGCTCTGCGCGAAAGCTATCCCAACATACGTGAGGCCTATGGTGGGTGAAACAATCACACGGTTCGCTCGTCCCTAAAAAGAATGCCTAAAGCGTTAAGCTAAACAATTTTAACAAAAAGTGGCAATCTACAGTATCACAACCGGATTCCTGACCCATTTCAGATCCTTGAACAGTGAAACTGGAACGTTTCACGGCTTCGAAAATCCACGTATGCCTATTCCTCTCCGTCAAGCGTCACCGAAGTGCTGGTCCTTAGTCAGTGCTTGTCTAACTTATTTTCTCTAGCTGGGTGGAAGGGACCGTCAGAAAGAAAGCGTTCCGTTCAGCTGTAGCGCCCTTCCGGTGCCTAGCTGCCATGCCACCCGAAGGACCATCAGAGTCAAGTGGTATGAATCGACGGTCGTGACCATTTTCAAAAACGCGTAATAGAGGTAATTCAGCCGTGGAACAGCAAAAAAGTGTCCATCACTCATGTTCCAAGTGAGGCGTAATTGTCGATAGACAGCATACAGGAAGTGTCGTCTGTTTGGCCAAGGGCTAACGAGACTCACTGAGCAAAACTGTAAAAATTCTGCTACTCACGTATTGAAACAAGTTGGTTTATGTATAGAGATTAATATGGCCTCATTAAAGTGGCGCACATTCAAGGAGCTACCCAGAGTGACGACATATTTTCAGTGACTGCAAAAAAGGAGAAAGTGAAGGAAGTCCTAAGGGAAAATCATAAATCAAATGCCTAGTAGTAACACGGCACGAAACGCATGTGTACCACAAAGTTACCTTTCTGAAGGATAAAGGAATAATCAACACAACTAAACTACGAACAGCACCAACAGGAAAGTGCTTTTTCAATCTTTGTCAATAGCCACACCACTCGTTTGAACCGCCGTGTTCCTGTTCTGGCGTAATTATTCCGGTGAGTCCACACCAAAGGGAAGCACTGGACTCGAGTTTCGCTCTCATTAGAGCTCATCAGCAGTGCATATCCAATGGCCGTGCCGGGAGTTGAACCCCGGACATCTGACATGCGAGGCGAGCGTGTAACCACTACTCCACCAACGCACGTTGGACGGATCTGAATTATCACGTCTGAACAGGCGAACATGTTCACACTTGAGCGATGTGATTGGTGTGCCCGACCCACTGGAAAAGTTGCACGATGCAAGCCTTTAGTTTTGTTTTTCGGTCTAATACTGTAATATTCAGTTCAGTAGCGAATCGAATTTTGGGTTAATTGAGATTAGCACATAATTCCAAATAAAAATGATGACTTGTATCAACATATTTCATGAGCGGAAACTGGATTGACCCTGGCTGCCCAACAATGCCCCATTGATGCTAAAGATTTCGAGTTTATACTGTAGTGACCACATCGGTTTACGGTTTGCAACCGACGAGGCAGATCACCTAGCTTCGGACTAGACTGTCAGATAAATGATTAGCCCAGTTAGCTAAATAGTGATTTAAATGTTCTGAGACCCCCTAGTTCGTATAGGTGGGTAGGTTCGAAAGAAGCATTCCTCAGAAACCAAACTATTCTCACTGGTTGGACGTGGAGGTTGTGGTGCAAACCGAAAAGCTTATTATGCAGTTTTCGGACGTCAAAGGATCGATAACGTTAAAGTCCACCCTAACAGAAAGGCAAAGCAATTTCGTGTCCGACATACAAACTGATTTCAACCCTCGAACAGTCTCCTCTTCAATTCCTGAATTAAGAATAGAAAAGGAAATCCCAGCCACTCTCCTTGGAACATAGTAAGAATAGCATTTCCCATTTTGATGCATAGGTGGTTGAAACTCCTGTTGCTAACAATGTGATCTCAGAACAAGATACACAAACGAATATTGACACTCGGTTTTATCAGATGTGTTAGAACCATCGCCCAGTACCCCCTACCTATCTTGATACTGAACAACATTGTAAAAGTTGAAACTAATGTACATTGTCAGTAGCCTAAAGGCTTAAATGAACTGTGGTCTGAGATGCCGAGAACGATTAGACCTGAGCCAAAATGCCGGTAACTTTCACTTTAGCAGCTCATAGTTATGAAAAAAGTACGTGAGACCGATGCGACATTTTGACGCGTTTAAATCGATAAAAGTTGATTTGGTTAGCAGTAATGGTTAGCAGTATAATTCTGCCGAAAGAAAAGAAACAAAAAAGGAAGAAAAGGAAGAAAAACTAAAATCCGAAAAATATACATCCAGAGTATGTGCTTCAAAACATAATGCCACGTGTTTTTGCTGTCAGGGTCTGATGATAAATGCGAAAACGATTAGCGTTAACAAGCATATGCAAGAAGAAAGGCAAACGAAGAGTATCACGCTATAAATAAAAATGTGCATCAGTGTTCGGGGTTATGAAACCGGGTGATATATGGACTTAATTTCCTCTCATGATGGTTAAATGTACCAATGGATTTGTCCTACGTGATACCGTGGAATCCTGACGGCAATATGCCAAAAAATCAAAACATACAACACCGCAGGTACGACACACGAAAATCGGGCCATTTATGGGGCATACGGAACCATGCGGACCAGAGAGAATAGCTTGTTTCAAACAAACCAATAGGCTTCCCGGTGCTCTGCAAAATACAGTTAAAATGAGGCAAATCCTGGCAGAGGCACCAGTCTGTGACAGATGTCGCACAGGACATATGATTGACTGAATAACCGACCTATTACGCGTTCATAGTGTTGCCCTCATACCTCAACATGCAGATGTGGAAATGCACAATTAAACGAAAGATATGGTACTTAAGAGCCTTCGGAACTGCGTTAACAACCCAGTTAAATATTCTCACGTGTAAGCTTGACTAATGGGTGTCCCTCCGAAAAGTCGAGCGCTCTATTGCACGTACTCACCCCAATCAGATGCACTACGTCTCCGAATACGGCACAACAATTTATGGTTCTTGAATGTGTATGCTCAGTCTATTCAAGCATCACAACGAGGGAGACCTCGGGCACGGCAGGTCAAACAAACATTCCAATACGATTCCCGGAACCAACAGTAGTACTTGACAAACAACAAATTTTCCATAAACACAACCATCACAACGGAGTCTGTGTGTCCCATGAGATACAAACAAAATTCAGCAACCGTGACACACACGCCATAATCCGTGGATGACTGGAATTCATATAACCCACAACGTGTCCGGTTAGGTGCAGCCAAAATAACTATACTGCAAGCACAAGAGCCCGCGTTCAACTGGCTTCTGACCAGCAACAACACAAAAGGAATGCAGATGTACATAGAGGGGCAAGTTGTGCATGACTTACCCTCTTCAGTTGGAAACGACGCTTTTTCACCTTCTGCTCACTCGGCTTAGAGTGAAAACAAACGAAGTGATGGCAGTGATTTTATAAACCAACATTCAGTCCAGTGCTCCATGATATGGAAAACCGTGGCTCCCAAGTTGCCCAAAGATGTATCCGGCGAGGGATAACCGTGAGCCGACGATCGAGCTACTATCAGACATCGAATCTTTCAAAACTATTCAAAGAATGCTGCCCCCCAGAAAAAAACCTATTTGAAACAGATTCGAGACCAACGGTCTGTCAGCATTGACCGCAATCATGAGACTTCCAACATATCAGAATAGGTAAATAAGTTAGGATCGTGGGGGGTACAGCAAGCTGAAAAGCACGAACACGTGTTTGCTTGCCTTTTATACATCAAGTCCCAGAAATCTGGTAAGACTGGGTAGTTGGATGCACAATTTACGCTAAAGTAGTAAGGTCACATCTTGCTTTCGCTGAAAAACACCATTTTTACCACACAAATCTATAACAGGTAAGCTGATCAATATGACGAAAGCATGAGATAACTCAGGGGTCAATCTCAGAGGTCCCCGATACTAAGCTTTCGATTGTTTCTATCCAAATTTCGGTACCTCAGCGTGGTATCCTCTTTCCATACGATGATGGCCGCGTAGTGTTAAACCTAAATATATCTACTAAATTTTTCACAGCAGTGTGAAACTGAAGCAATGAGGAATACGTACACTGAGTTCCCCTTTGAAAATACCAGTCAAGAATCCAAACAGACTCATTGATTGTTTATTCATGGTTCGTTGGTGCCCCGGATTGGTCTTATTTTTGACACGTTACTGCCATCATCATTGTCAGCTATAGTAACCGCGTACTTGTCGTATAGTGGTTTCTTTCATCGATGATTTAGGGAGGTGGGGTAGGTAGCTGCGCGTTGGAGGCGGGAGTTGATAAATTCGTGCGTAAATACAGCACTGTCAGTGGACTGCTAAGTGCGGGGACTCGAGAAGGGAGCTATGCATTAAAGGCAATAGTATGGATGCATGAGCGCCATTGAGGGCGCCATACAGTCCGTAGAAATTAGGTAGGTGGGGGTTCCAGTTGAACACAGTAGTACTCGGAATTGCAGGTGCTGGACTCGAAATTCAGACTTTCTGGATATAGGTATGCGCTTTATTTCCGTTCCTACTCGAACTTAACTTGAATCAAGATACTGGACACTCTTAACTTCCTGGGCAACATCTCTCACTATGGATTCGACAGTAAAAATCGAAACTCCAGGTGAGGAGTGACTGTTGGAAGACATGAGGGATATCCGGTAGCTTCTAAACAAGTTGTGGGGATAAAACGCTTCCAATAATATAAAGCGGGACACACGTGATCGACGACTATATACAAACTTCGTTCATTCAAAGGTTGAGGAAAGTGTACATCGTCAATTACAAATCGACCGGCCATTCTATTCAATTAGTGTGAGTAGTAAGGCACACCAAAAACTGGGTAGTTATCGGTCTCATCAGCAAGGTAGCATGGAACCACAAGAGGTGAAAAGAACTCAGAAAGCACCGGGGACAAGAGACGTCGGGTAGAGTTGATGCGAAACACGTACTTGGAGGTAATGTCATCACCACGATCAACAGCAATACATTAGTAGTGAATAGTGGCGCTTCATTACCATACAACCATGATTAAAAAGTACAAAAGGGAGGTAATTCAGCTTTTAAAAAATCAAAAGCTATCAATGACAACGCGCCAGCACTCCTGAAACGGGATAAACTAAATTCATCTGAGCACCATGTCTGGCTACAACGCCACCAGCACGACTGACCAAGCATCACCCGCAGCCTAACTCACAACGACAAGCAAAATTAAGCCAGATGACTTAGCAAATGAATGTGTGCTATTCAGTGAGATCGGCTATGTGCCGTATGTTGCAGTTCCTAGTCACCTGCAAGAAGAATCAAAAGTAACGCTGCCGGAAAGACGCTATATATCCCACTTTGAATGTGACTACCTTCGTTTCGCACCACAACATCACATCTTATCTCCCGTGAAGCTTTCGTTAAGTGTTCGGTTTAGAAAACGCCGTCTTATGAAGATGGTAGTGAGAAATGCGTAGTACGTGCAGACGAACCTGACTCTGCCAATTACTCGCTTCTGTCTTCCGGAGACCACAGACAAAATATGAGGACTGTTCTCATGATTACATTGCGCACGTGGCCATTTATTTTCAAGGAATGTAGTTACTAACGTAACAAATGACACCGGTTCTGCTTCGATAACATTTGCACTGAATTCACACACATATTAGTGAAATCAAGGCTTGTGAACGCACCGAGCTAGGTAAACTGATGAGCAAACTAAAGGTGCTCACCTTGAAGCTTCAAAAGGACAGGATTAAATTGAAAACCCCGAAAAGCAAGCACTTTGGGGGTACTATTTGCAAACAACTACAATCAAAGCAAAGGGCAAATAACGACCTGGCCACGAAAAAGTGCGATGAGTATAGAACCAAATAACTCACTTGAAGTTCAGCCTGCTGTCGGCAAAGTACAATGTTGAACACATCGAGCACGTCTTCATAGTCCTGTAAATCAAACGCATCGTAAGGGAACGTAAGGGAACGTAAGGGAAAGCACCAAAGTCATAGATAAGAGTAAGAGTAAAATCCTTCTGTAAGACACGAATGCAGTGGGTTGGTAAGAAAAAGGCGAAAATGAGGGACATCTGCCCTGGGGAGATCATTCGTCCCACGTCGACAGTGATGCTGCCACCGTAGTTATCTTCTGACACTTATAATTGGACATTTACTGACGACCGTTCAGAGCACTTCAGCGGTGCCGTATGTAAGACCACTTGCCAACCTAAGCTAGCGGTCTTCAACAAGGGGAAAGGAAGTTCAAGGATTCAGGTGGGATGATGCTCTCAAGCCGTTAGGACAACAGTAGCTGAAATACTGGTATTCAGACAACCTGACTCTCGTCCTCATTAACATTTGGCATATTTTTTGGTTCTATTGTCCACTATGTTCATGCTGGTAGTGGCAGATCACAGGGAGTCAGCACCGCCCGACGCTTTCCAAACTGCTTTGAGTCAATCACTGAAAGTCTTCACCAAAAAAATCACAACAGTTGACGAAAAACTGAATGCGCTTTGATTGCATGTAACGACAGTCCTAGCCGTTTTCGCGTTACACTCGCTCCGAGGGCCCAAACCTGAGTATGAAACTAAGTCGACTACTTCAAACCTCTAAAATGTGCTGTCTCCGCCTGATGTAAAGTAGGAGCGCAGATACCGTAAAAAAGAGCCAAATAATGTAAGAGATCAGATGAGCGATCAAACGACGAGGTCCAAAAACACCATATATTCCAGTTTGGAGAGAATGAAGTGATGGTGAATAGACCTCTATAAAGGAAAGATAACAACCACTCGGTCACCGTTTGAGGTTTGCACTCGTTGATCATGATAATATAAGCGGATTGAGAACGGTGGGGAGGACTCTGTGATGAGTCCTTTAATAGCCTTTAAGTTTGGAAGAAGTAACAAATCAAATACGTGCCGCCAACAGTACAAGGAAGCGCACACTGGTTTCAGTGTCATTAACATCGTCGGCTGCAGACCGTATATTGATGGTACAGGGGCCCTAGTTAAAACGATTAACAGCAATTAATAATTAATTAATTATCACTATCATTGTTTTGACCCAGTAAACTTAGGGGACGGATGACCGCTCATAGTAGACTGGAAAGCATTTAGGGTGCACAAAAGGTTAGGATGCACCGACATAATCGTATCATTGGTTCGTCCGAAAACCACTTCGCCACACTTTAACTTGTGTGTAAACATCTGTTACACGAGAAAGATGCTCAGAGACCAATGACTGTGTTCACTCAAATGTTGGTCTTCATACAGCATGCCAGGCTCAGTGCAGTTCAGTTATTTAGCTACAAACCGTGTATCATGGTAGAGAAGCCATGGTTTTGTTCACACTGAGTGAGAAGAATAAAAGTATGACAGCCAAGCGCTGAAATTGATGGCTCAGTTAACGTTAAATATTTTTCCGATAAGACAGAGAGTCAGAGAGCCATGCGCTGAAAGCAACAGCTCTGACGCAGAGCCACAAGTGGCTATCTGACGTGGCCGTCTGTCAAAAACCGTGTATCATGGTAGAGAAGCCATGGTTTTGTTCACACTGAGTGAGAAGAATAAAAGTATGACAGCCAAGCGCTGAAATTGATGGCTCAGTTAACGTTAAATATTTTTCCGATAAGACAGAGAGTCAGAGAGCCATGCGCTGAAAGCAACAGCTCTGACGCAGAGCCACAAGTGGCTATCTGACGTGGCTGTCTGTCAAGGTCACTAGCCCTCCATTTCTCTTGTCCCAGGGTTCCCATCCAGGAAGACGGCAGTGAATCGGCTGATGAGGGCTTGCACGCTCTATTGCCAGGTCATGGAGTGACCTTCCTGGATCGTCTCCATACGGGACATGGCTGGATGACCTAACCATGACCTAAACAGTTTCGCCTTTGAAGTGGGACTAGTTGACCTACCGAGGGAGAGTTACCTTTCTTGGAAACGACCTGTCATAACTAAGTTCTACTGATCGGATGTTACCATCTGACCTGCACGATGCCTCGGGTGCCCCGGTGTTCTAACACATATAATCTGTATAAAGCGGCTACATCCCTGATCCATAAAGCGGGACAGATCAAGTAGCAGCAGTACCCTTGGCAGTCAGACTGATGTCAGGTCTGAACCACAAATGTCGGAGGTGGACAAAAGTTTTCCCGGCCTTCAAGATTCGGGAGGTGATTTCATTCTTCACCAGTGTGCCAAAACTCAGGAAGCCATCTAAATGGGCCGGATTGTCTGCCACACCTATCAATTTACCAGTAAGCATGAGACTAAGGTTTGATCCCACCCAGTCCTGTAATAGCACTTTACAAAGTACACCAGAAACCAGTCAAAACATGGTTGCTTGATCAACTGAGGTGAGGCGCACTGATGAACCAGAGGTTGCCTTTGTGTCTATTAAGTTGATAAGCATTCTCTTGAAGAGACAATGTGTTGCTGACCCGAAATATGGTTCAAATACTTTCCAAGACAAATGACAATTAGCATAACTAGACAATGGGCTCTGCTCGCTCTTTCTAAATTCACAGCACATCGCGCAAACTGGGTCTGTCAAGTAGGGATTTGAGAAAGTTTTCCGAAAACAAACTTCAAGAAGTCCAAAACACCATGTAACATGGGGCGACAAGTAGATACGAATTCACAAAGTATCGAACAGCAAAATCGGGCAAAGCTGGTGCTCAGTTTCTGAGTCGGTTTTAAATTTGAGTGGCGGGGTTCTCCTCTGCAGAATTTTGACGGACTTACTATCCCTCCATATACATGATCATCAACAATAAAAAGCTGGGGGTGATGACCTACATATCCTCCTCTTACATTCAGCTGGCCTCAAACACGTCACATTCTGCTCAAATGTTGCTTGATCTATCCGGAACATGGAAGAACTAAGGACCGGTTTACCATCAGCAAGTTGGAAAAGGCGAGCGAAAAAAGATGCCAGAATAACGGAGTGATACTATGCAGTTTCAGAAAGTAACCGAATGTACATAGGTCCCAGCTGAAGCGACTTGATCGGTAAGTTCAAAATTTCTTTAAATTACGCAGTAGTTGAGCAACTGAGTGGCTGTAAAAAACATGAAACTGATTCCACTCTCAGGAGCCTGCAACCGTAACAAGCTATACTGAGTAGTGAACAATGCAATAGAACGATTTTAGTCAAATGAAGCACGTCAGATGAACTAGGTACATTAGCTGAGCAGTGACAGTAGTTCCTGATTAAAACAGACTTTACTACGAAGAAAATTGTAATGGGTGCATCCTGACGGGTTGCACGGTAAGTCACCACTGACGAGAAACACCTTTGGGAAGGATCCTCTATGACAGTAAAACAGACAACAGACCACTGACCAACGTTCCAGCTATTCGCTAATAGTTGTGCCAATAAGACATGGACTTTGGATTACCGGTACTAAAAAAACATCACATAGCCGAAAATAATCCGCTAGTCGAGGTTGGAAAGTGCCAGCTTGCACAAGCGGGATCTAAGTACTTTTCGAAACGTAATCAGAATACAGAAGGAATAAAACAGGTCAGATCGAGGTCAGATCGGAACGGGCGTGACGCGGTTGCTGTAAGCCGAGTGTCAAAGAACAAAATGGTCCTATTTACGTGGTTCCACCTTGGGATTGGGATATCAAGGTGCTCGCTTCGGTTGAAGCTCATTAAGTTCACCTGATACCGTCTTGCCATCACAGATCAACA